GACACAGTGGGGACATAAGGGGTCACAGCGGGGGGACACAGCAGGGTCACATTGGGGGGGACAGCAGGGGGACACACCAGGGGACAGAGGGGACATAACGGGGTCACATCAGCGGACGGCAGGGGACACAGCAGAGACACAGCAGGGTCACACTGGGGACAGGGAGCCTCGAGCCTCAGGCACACACCGGGGTCACATCAGGATCACAGGGAGCAGAGCCCCGGGGTCACACCGGAGTCACACTGGGGTCACACCTGGGTCACACCGGGGGCACACCGGGGCACTCACCTGCAGCTCCGTGGCCTCCCATTCCAGCCACTGCGTGGTCAGGTCGGTGGGCTCCTCCCCACGGCACAGGTAAAAATACCTGGGGGGGGAAGGGGGGTCGGGGCAGGTTCTGCGGGAGCGCCCGGCGGGACCCGGAGCCGCATGGCGGAGGGGGCGGGGCCGCGCGGGGCACGGCGGGAGGGACCGCGGCCGGGGGCGGGGCCGGCGGTGTTAGCTCCGCCCCGGACACGCCCATCTGGACGCGCACCTAAGTCTCGCGAGAGAGCGGGAAGGAGGTTGCCATGGCAACGGGGACGCGGCTGTGGGGCCGCCATGACCGGGATGGGAACGGGGATGGGAACAGGGACGGGATAACGGGAATGGGATAACGGGGATGGGATAGCGGGATAACGGGCATGGGATAGCGGGATAACGGGATAGCAGGATAACAGGATAACGGAAATGGGATAGCGGGATATGGGAATGGGATAACGAGGATAGGATAATGGGATAACGGGAAAGGGATAGTGGGATAGCGGGATAACGAGGTAAGAGGAAAACAGGATAGTGGGATAACGGGATAGTGGGATAGCAGGATAAGAGGAAAACGGGATAGTGGGATGGGAACTGGGATGGGATCCATGGGATTGGATAATGAGATGGGAATGATGGGATGGGAATGATGGGATGGATCCATGGGATGGATAATGGGAAAATGGGATTGGAACTGGGATCAGAACTGGCACGGGATGGGAACAGGGATGGGATAATGGGATGGGATCCATGGGATGGGATGATGGGATGGGAATGACAGGAATGACGGGAATGACAGGAATGACAGGATGGATCCATGGGATGGGATGACGGGATGGGAATGACAGGAATGATGGGATGAATCCATGGGAGGGGATGATGGGAAAATGGGATTGGAACTGGGATAGGATGGGAACAGGGATGGGATGATGGGATCATGGGGATGATGGGATGGGATGATGGGAATGATGGGAATTATGGGATCCATGGGATGGGATGGGAATGACGGGAATGATGGGATGGGAATGACAGGAATGATGGGATGATGGGATGGGATGATGGGATGAATCTCATTACGGGATCCATGGGATGGGATGGGAATGGCCGGAATGATGGGATGATGGGATCATGGGGATGATGGGATGATGGGATGGATCCATGGGATCATAGGGATGATGGGATGGGATGATGGGATCATGGGGATGATGGGATCATGGGGATGATGGGATGGGATGATGGGATCATGGGGATGATGGGATGATGGGATGACAGGATGGGGCCCAGCCGGCCCGGGGGGTCCCAGGTGCCCCCGATCCCTTCTGGCCCGAGTCTGGTCCCGGGCTCTGAAGGAACCCAAGGGCAAGGTTGGGATTTTACCCAAATTCTGTGAATTTCACCCAAACTCAGTGAACCCCGCCCAAATCCCAGCACATCTAACCCAAATTGCATTCATTTAACCCAAATTTCATCAGCTGAGCCCAGTTTCTGTTCTATTTAACCCAGATTTCAGTGGTTTAACCCAAATTTTATGAATTTGCCCCTGTTCAAGCCACAAGTCCGGGTCAAGTTTAACCACTTTTTATTTTTCCACTTAAATATTCTCTTTAAATACAGCATTGTCCCAGGAAACTGCGGAAAAGCAGGAAAAATGAATAACAGTGGGGAGAAGCTTTGGATTCACTTGGTGGCATTAAATGTGGAGTTAAAATGGAAATTAAAAACCAAAAAATGAAATTAAAAATGGAATAGAAATAAGGAAAGGGAAAAGTGAAGTTAAAAGGGAAATTAAAAAGGAAATAAACTGTATTAAAAAAAGAAAAAAGAGCAAGTAAAAATTCAAGAAAGAAATAAAATGGCAATAAAAACAGAGAAAGGAAATAAAAATAAAATTTAAAAAAAAAATTAAATTAAATTTAAAAGAAAAAACAAAATTAAAAGTGAAAGGAATAAAAAAGAAGTAGAAAAAAGGGGAATAAAAAATAAAGAAGGAAATCAAAATTACATTAAAAGTTCTGAAGCCGCTTTGGGCACCCTGGGGGGGAAGTTTGGGGATCCCCAGGGGTTTTGGGGGGGCTGTAGCACCAGCGAGGGCCAGATCCATGAAATCCAGACTGGATCAAATCCAGGAACTCTGGGGGCTTTGGGGGAAAACGGGATAAATCTGGGAATTCTGTGGTTTGGGGGGAAATTGAATAAATCCAGAAATTCTGGGGGGTTTGGGGGGAAATGGGATAAATCCAGCAATTCCATTGTTTGGGGGGAAATCAGATAAATCTGGGAATTCTGTGGTTTGAGTAGAATGGGATATATCTGGGAATTCTGAGGGGTTTGGGGGGAAATGGGATAAATCTGGGAATTCTGTGGTTTGGGGGGAAACGGGATAAGTCTGGGAATTCCATGGTTTGGGGGGAAATTGAATAAATCCAGAAATTCTGGGGGGTTTGGGGGGAAATGGGATAAATCCAGCAATTCCATTGTTTGGGGTGCAATGGGATAAATCTGGGAATTCTGAGGGGATTGGGGTACACCAGGATAAATCCAGGAATTCCATGGTTTGGGAAGCACCAGCTGGGGGGAGCCAGGGCAGGATTTGGGGTCCCCTGCCCCTGTCCCTGCCCCCAGGGGGTCACACCGGGTTTGGGGCCGTTCCTGTGGGATCTGGGCACCTCCCGGGGGGGTTTGGGGGTCACCGAGGCCCCGGGCTGGGAGCCGGCCCCTCCCCACCCCAAATCCCCCCTGGGAAATCCCCTCTGAGCCCCCTGAAGCCACTCTGAGCTCCCCCAAACCCCTTGGAACCCCCCCAAACCCCTTCAACACCCCCCTAAGTGCCCGTGAAATGCTCTGAACCCCGTTTTGATCCCTCCTGGACACCAAAAATAACCCTGGGAACGCCCTAAAACCCCTCTGGCTCTGCCAAACCCCCTGAAATCTCCTCTGAACACCATTAAATGCCTCCCTGAACCCCTGAAAACACCCTCTGAACCCCCAAATGCCCCTCTGAATCCCCTTTTTAACCCCTTACCCCCCTCCTCTGAACCCCCCTAAACCTCAAACCCCTTTGAACCCACGCAAGGCCCCTGAATTCCCTTTGAATCCCCCTTAAATCTTCTGAACTCACTTAAACCCCCTTTGGAGCCCCTAAAAAACCCTTTAAACCAACTTAAACCCCACCTGAGCCCCTTTAAACTCCTCTGAACCCCCCTAAAGCCCTTCTTAAACCCACCTTAAATGTCCCCTCAAGAGCCTAAAAAATCCCTTTGACACCCTCAGACCCCACTGAACCCACCTGAATCCCTCAAACTCTTTTTAAAGCCCCTTAAACCCCTCTGAACCCCCTTGATCTCCTAAAAGACCCTTTCACTTTCTTTATAAACCCCTTTAGACCCAACTGAACCCCCTTTAGCCCCCTTAAACCTCTCTGAACCCCGAAAACCCATAAAAACCTCTCTGAACACTTTTCAACCCTAAAAAACCCCTCAATGCCCCCATAACCCCTAAAAGCCCCACTCTGAACATCCCTGAACCCCCTAAGAACCCCTCTGAGCCCCCTTAAACCCCTTTTTACACTGTCATGAACACCTAAAACCCCATAAAAACCCCTCTGAACCCCTTTAAACCCCCCAAAAAAACTCAATGCCACCATAACCCCTAAAACCCCCACTTTGAGCCCCCTTAAACCCCTTTAGAACCTCATCCCCTCCTGAACCCCCTTTTAAACCCCCCCAGAGAGGACAGGTGACCCCCCCAGAAGCACCAGGGGACCCTCAACCCCCAAAACTGGTGGGGAGGTCCCACCCCAGTGTGGGAAAACTGCTGGAAAAGCCAAAATCAAGGGTGAAACCAAAAAGTCAGGAGAAGAATGAGGGGGCAGCAGCTGGACTGGGGGATTTGGGTCCCTGTGACCCCGGGGTCTGGGAGCATCAGGTGAGCAGGGCCTGAAGGCACAGATCCCTCAAGGTGAGCAGGTCCAGGTGAGCAAGTCCAGGTGAACAAGTCCAGGTGAGCAGGTCCTGGGAGTGCTCAGGTGAGCAGATCCAGTGGCACAGATCCCTCAAGGTGAGCAGGTCCAGGTGAGCAGATCCAAGTGAGCAGGTCCCACAAGGTGAGCAGATCCAGGTGAGCAAATCTCACAAGGTGAGCAGATCCAGGTGAGCAGGTCCAGGTGAGCAGGTCCTGGGAGTGCTCAGGGGAGCAGATCCAGTGGCACAGATCCCTCAAGGTGAGCAGGTCCAGGTGAGCAAGTCCAGGTGAACAAGTCCAGGTGAGCAGGTCCTGGGAGTGCTCAGGTGAGCAGATCCAGTGGCACAGATCCCTCAAGGTGAGCAGGTCCAGGTGAGCAGATCCAAGTGAGCAGGTCCCACAAGGTGAGCAGATCCAGGTGAGCAAATCTCACAAGGTGAGCAGATCCAGGTGAGCAAATCTCACAAGGTGAGCAGATCCAGGTGAGCAAATCTCACAAGGTGAGCAGATCCAGGTGAGCAAATCTCACAAGGTGAGCAGATCCAGGTGAGCAAATCTCACAAGGTGAGCTGGTCCAGGTGAGCAGGTCCCACAGTCTGTAGGGTCCAGGTGAGCGGAATGCAGGTTTTGGGGCACAGACCCAAGCAGGTGAGCAGATCCCAGAATCCAAGAGCATCCAGGTGAGCAAATCCACAGAGCCAGTGGAGAACAGGCAGCCCCACCCCCATCCCGATTTCCCCCCCTCCTGCCTCTTCCCAGGCTGGAATCGCCGCTGGGCCAGGTCGACCTCACCTGGCTGAAGCCAAAAAAAAGAGGGAAAAGCCCCAGAAATGAGAAGTTTCACCCCAAGACAGACGCCAGGGCTGCAGGAAGGTCCACAGCACAGGTGGGTTTTCCATGAATCCCAGTCCAAGGAAGGGCAGGAGGGACCAGGTGAGTCTGGAGAACCTGAATCCATCCCAGTCTGACCAGTTTGATGCCAGTGGAGAGCCCGGAGCCAGAAGGAGCACAGGTGAGCAGGAAGCACCTGAGGAGCAGCACAGGGAGTTCCAGGTGCTCTGGGAAGTTGGGTTCACCAGGAGCAGCAGGAGCTGGACACCTGCAGGGCTCTGTGGGATGGATCCTGAGGGCTGGAATGGCAGGAACAGTTCTTTGGGAAACACAGCCAGGTGAGGGTCACCTGCATGGATGGATGGAGCTCACCTGGGATGGGCAAGGAGCCAGCTGAGAGCTCCAGGCCCAGGTGACATTGCACCCATGGGGTAACAGGGACACCTGTGCACACCTGCAGGGCTCTGGTCCTGCAGGACCAGGAATTGCTCCAGCACCACCTGGATGCACAGAGCCCACCTGCAGTGGGCCAGGATCACAGGTAGGGACAGGGACACTCCTGCACATCCTAAATCCTGCTCCTTGGAGGGGCAGCTCCAACCCCTCAGCAGCTGCTGGAGGCACCTCCCAGCACGGGATGAATATCCCAGAAGGTTCCCACAGGTACAGGTGATCACTTCCAGGTGATGGAGGAGCCAACGAGGAGGTGAAGTTGGCTCAACCCCCCAGAATGTTCCAGGTGAGTTTGGGAATTCCAGTCTTGGGTCTCTTGTGCCAGTTCCAGGTGTTTCCCAATCCATCCCAGCTGCAGGTGAGTGGGAGCATCACCTGGATGAGGTGGGATGGGAGGCAGCCCAGGTGAGACATTCATTAAACAATCAGGAATGAGGGAAAAAGGACTTTTCCCTTAAAAACAAGGAAAGTGGAGGCAGCCAGGGGGGACAGAGCTGCCATGGGATCCAGGAGGCTCCAGCTCAGGTGAGTCCTGGCACAGGTGATCTCTGCCACGTGGGATGGAGAACAGGAAGGATCCGAGAGGCTGCAGCCCAGGTGAGTCCTGGCACAGGTGACCCCTACCAGGTGAGTGAAGGACTCCTGGCCGTGGGCCAGGTGACTCCTCTATCCAGAGCAGCCCCCACCAATTAAATAATCAATCCATGGAATAAATAATGGAGCCAGAGGGCCTGAGGCCACTCATATGGGCAGATGGGGGTGCTCCAGGTGCTCTGGGAGATTTTGGGGCGCTCCTCCCTTGCTCACAGCAGCAGGGACAGGTGGGACCCCCAGCTCTTTCTCAGGGGGGCTGGAAGCTGGAGCTGGATGCTCCACGTGGCCACTGCCACCCTTGGCACCTGCCCGTGGCTCCAGCTGGCAGTAGAGCCCAGGTGCATCGGGCAGGTAAGGCTGGGAGCCCACCTGGGCCGGCTGCCCCGGGGGGTAGCACAGGACAGGAGATTCCAGCGGGAACTGGGCTGGGATCAGGATGGTGGAGGTGAGCCCGGGGCACGGGGGAGCTTTCACCTGCCAGGTGTCATCCAGGTGCTCCCCCAGCACGCAGACCCCGCCCCCTTCTCCCCCAGAGCCGCTTCCAGAGTCTTCCTCAGCCTTCAGCCTCTCCAGCTCCTCGGCCGTCTGCAGGTGCAGCACCGCCCGCTCGTTCTCCGCCAGGTACTCCTGGAAGTCCTGAGTCTCGGGGGGCTGCGGGGGCGGCCAGCTGGGGCCAGGGAGGGCAGCGGCTCCTTCCTCCTCCTCCTCCTCCTCCCGCCGGTTCTCCAGCTCCAGCTTCATCAGGGTGTGCAGGAAGTGGGTGCGGACGCGCAGGGGGTTGAACTCGATGCGCCCGGCCACGTTCCCGCAGCCGTCCCGGGAGCAGCCGCACGGGAACGACGTGCGATCCACCTGGGCACAGGGCACACTGTGGCAGCCTGCAGGAGCCTGCCAGCCTGCCTCCCCCCCAGACATCCTGGCAGGGCTTTGTCCCAGCCAGGATCCCCCCCAGAGCCTGCATCCCCCCCAGACATCCTGGCAGGGCTTCATCCCAGCCAGGATCCCCCCAGAGCCTGAATCCCACCCCAAACATCCTGGCAGGGCTTTATCCCAGCCAGGTGTCTCCACAGGTGGAGGATCCCACAGGATCCCCCCCGCTGCCCAGAGCCTGAATCCCACCCCAGATCCCACCTGGACAGCAGGAATTTGGCTCTGGGGTGGGGAGAGGAGTTTATACATTCCAGGTATGGCCAAAACACCTGGAGCTGTTCCTGCTCCTTCAAGGAACAAGAGCACTCCAGCACCTGCTGCACCACAAACCCCAGCAGCCCCACCTGGCACCCTCTGCTCCCTCAAGGAGCAAGGACATGGGCACAGTGGGGGTGCCTCGAGGCCCACCTGTCCCCCCTTTTCCCAGCTCACCTGGCACCGGATGCCCTCACCTGGCACACCTGGCTCTCCCCACACCCCAGGAAGCACACGAGGAGCAGCCCCAAACCCCACCCCATCCCATCCAAACCCCTCCTGTCTCACCTGGCACTGGATACCCTCACCTGGCTCTCCTGACTCCTCAAGGAGCACAGAACAGCAAGCACAGGCACAGAAACAAGGAGGAGCCCCAAACCCCTCCCTGTGTCTCACCTGGCTCTCCCCACTCCCCAAGGAGCAGGAGCACAGAACAGGAAGCACAGGAGCAGCCTGGCCCTCATCCCTCCCACCCCAAACCCCTGCCCTGCAGCTCACCTGGCACTGGATGTCCTCACCTGGCTCTCCCCACTCCTCAAGGACAGGAAGCACACGAGGAACAGCCCCAAACCCCTCTCTGTGTCTCACCTGGCACACCTGGCTCCCCACACCCCAGGAAGCACACGAGGAGCAGCCTGATCCCCCCCCATGTCTCACCTGGCACTGGATGCTGGCCTGGCACACCTGGCTCTCCTCACCCCCCAGGAAGCACACGAGGAGCAGCCCCAAACCCGTCTCTGTGTCTCACCTGGCACACCTGGCTCTCCCCAGACCCCAGGAAGCACACGAGGAGCAGCCCCAAACCCCTCTCTGTCTCACCTGGCACACCTGGCTCTCCCCACCCCTCAGGAAGCACATAAGGAGCAGCCCCAAACCCCCCCGTGTCTCACCTGGCACTGGATGCCAGCCTGGCACACCTGGCTCTCCCCACCCCTCGGGAAGCACACGAGGAGCAGCCCAACCCCCCCGTGTCTCACCTGGCACACCTGGCTCTCCCCACCCCTGGGGAAGCACACGAGGAGCAGCCCAAACGCCCCCCTGTCTCACCTGGCACTGGATGCCGGCCTGGCTGCAGGCGCAGGTGCGCGGCTCGCAGGTCAGGCGGCACAGGCAGCCGCACTGCTCGCGGGACAGGCGCAGCGCCCGCAGCTCCTGCCGCTCCTCGGCGTCGATCCTGCGCACGCCCGAGGCGCGCAGCAGCGCCCGGCGCCGCTTGGTGGGCAGCGGCTGCAGGTAGAAATAATCGCCCACCTCCACCTGCCCCACATCCAGGTCGTCGTCGGACACGTCGGCCAAGGTGAGCCCCGCGGCCTCGGCCGACGGCACCGTCCCGTTCTGGGTCAGCTGCGGCGAGGGGAGAGGAAAAGGGTTAAAAATCAGCAAATTTGGGGAGTTGGAGAGAAAGTTAGGGTTGGTAAGCCCTGGGGAATGTGAAGGGTAGGCCCTTGCTTGCACCTGGTAAACACCTCACAAAAGCAATTCATTTCTTTGTTCACTTCTTTTTCTAGTGAGTTGCCCAGGTGGGACTTTTTGGCTGCTGTCTAATTAAATTTGAGGTGAAGTCCCCGAGGTCCTACAAGGTGGCTTTCACCTAATCGAGGAGAAAAACTTGAAAATTCAGGGAGTTAGAAAGAAAGTTAGGGTTGGTAAGCCCTGGGGAATGTGAAGGGTCGGCCCTTGTTGTATGTGCCTCCTCCAGCCAGGTCTCATGAACTCTTGGGGGTGAATAGCACACCCAAGATAGCTCAGCCACCTTTGGAGGCACAAAAATCAGCAGCACGGCTTCTGCTGCAGTGTTGGAAACAAAAGGGTTTCATAAAAGACAAAATAACAAACAGAAAAACCGAGCCAGGTGCACCAGGACCTTGGTTCTGGTAAAACACCTCACAAAAGCAATTAGCTCCTTTGTTCATTCCTTTTTCTGGCAAATTGCCCAGGTGGGACTTTTTGGCTGCTGTCTAATTAGCTGTCCTTAAATTTGAGGTGAAGTCCCCAAGGTCCTGTGAGGTGGCTTTTCACCTCAACTTCTGGGCTTCTTTCCTTTCTAGGGGGACAAGGATAGTTTTGCCACTCCATCAACAGGGAGCACATTCCTGCAGGCCCTGGGAAATGTCAGGCCTTGTGTTTGCTAGATCATGTGAAACTGCAGCTGTGTAATCAGTATATGGTAAATAATATAATTATTAGATATAATTATTGCTTAATCATGAGAAGAATCATGAGAAACTGTGTTAGGAGTTTGAGGGGGATCAGGAGAAATCCATACTTGAATGAAATCAATTGTAAAACAGAACTATGTAAGTTTAGTAATTAATATGTAAGTTATATAAGATAGAATATTTATAAAATATAAAACATGTTCAGCTCCAAATGTCGGAGTCAGATTTGGGTCTGCACCCCTGACACCCAGAGCTCTTCAATAAAAGCCCCTGCATGAAGCCATTCTGTGATTTTGTGTTCCTGAACACCACCAGAGGGACACGTGTGGGGATGTGGGACCACAGGGGTCACCTGCCCAGGTGTGCTTCCCTCCACCCAAACTGAGCCTTGTCCCTCCCAAGGCTTGTCCAACCCAAGGAAAATTGAATTTTGGGGTTTTTTTTTTTTTTTGGAAAGGCATTGCCAGATTCACCCTGGAACATCCTGATCACCCCCAGGTGCCACCCAGGTGTTTCCCACACAGGTTTTTCCCCCCAAAGATCCCCCCAAAGTGTTTCCCACCTGGATTCCCCTCACTTTGCCCCTCTTCCAACCTCGCTCTGGCATTTTGCACTTCTCTCCCCCAAACCCCTCCCCAAGGGCTTTCCCACCTGCCCACCACCAAACCCATCCAGGTATTTCCCCCCTGGATTCCCCCCTCCCAGCCCCAAAACCTGGCTCCCCCAAATCCAACCCCAGATATTCCCACCCAGATACTCTTTGTCACCCCAAATCCCCTCCAGGTACGATCCCCCACTGCTGCCCCTTCAGGTATCTCCCACCTGGATTCCCCCTCCCTCCCCAGTTATTTCCCACCTGGATTCCACCTTCCCTCCCAGGTATTTCCCACCTGGATCCTGCCCTCCCTCCCCAGGTATTCTCCACCCAGACACCCTCTGTTCCACCAAATGCCCTCCAGGTATTCCCCTCCTGGGTCTCCCACTGCTGCTCCTCCAGCTATTTCCCACCTGGATTCCACCCTCCCTCCCCAGCTATCTCCCACCTGAATTCCCCCTCCCTCCCTCCTTCCTCACGTATTTCCCACCCAGACACCCTCTGTTACCCCAAATCCCCTCGAGGTATTTCCCACCTGGATTCTGTCCCCGCTCACCTCTCTCCTCCTGGCGCGCAGTTTCTCCCTGCGCAGGTGCTGCCGCAGGTGCTGCCGGTGGCTCACCTGGCGCAGGTGAGCGAACTGGCTGAGGCTGTACCTGCGGGCACGGTGGTGCCGCGGGGCCATGCCCAGGGAGCTGCCCCCGGCGCTGGGCACGCAGGTGAAGCCCTGGCGCCGGGCGAAGTAGTAGACGGTGACCTGGGCGAAGCGCACGCGCTTCCCGCCCCGGCGCGCGCGGGAGCGCCGCAGGATGGACGGAGCTGCGGGCACAGCGCAGGTCAGCACAACATCACCACCAAAATTACATTAAATTCACCCATTTTCCCTCTATTCCCCTCAAAAACTGAAAAAATATCCATTATTTCCCCTTAATTCCTTCCCCGCAAATGGTCTGGGAATGCGCCGCAGGATGGACGGAGCTGCGGGCACAGCACGGGTCAGCACAACATCACACCCAAAATTATATAAAATTCATCCATTTTCCATCTATTCCCGTCCAAAATTTAAAATTACATATTATTTCCCCTTAATTCCTCCCCTGCAAATGGTCAGGGAATGCACCGCAGGATGGACGGGGCTGCAAGCACAGCACAGATCAGCACAACATCACCCGAAAATTATATAAAATTCACCCATTTTCCCTCTATTTCCCTCCAAAATTGAAAAATCCCCATTATTTCCCCTTAATTCCTCCCCTGCAAATGGTCAGGGAATGCACCGCAGGGTGGACGGCGCTGCGGGCACAGCACAGGTCAGCACAACATCACACCCAAAATTATATAAAATTCACCCATTTTCCCTCTATTTCCCTCCAAAATTGAAAAATCCCCATTATTTCCCCTTAATTCCTCCCCTGCAAATGGTCAGAATTCTCCTCCAGGCTCCCTACAAACTCACCCCATCAAAATTCCCTCAAAATCCCTCCCCAGCTGCTCTAAAATTTCCCAAAATTGAAAGGAAATTCATGCTGGGCAAAGTAGTAGATGGTGACCTGGACCTTGGATGGATGGGGCTGCAGGCACAGCACAGGTCAGCAAAAAATCTCCCCCAAAATTATATAAAATTCACCCATCTTCCCTCTATTTCCCTCCAAAATTTAAAAATTATCCCGTAATTCCCCCCTGCAAATGGTCAGAATTTCGCTTCACATCCGCTCCAAACTCACCCTGTCAAAACTCCCCCAAAATCCCTCAACTCCTCTGAAGTTTCCCAAATTTCAAAGGACATTCAAGCCCCATGAACTCCCCAAATAATTCCCATGAATGCACCAATCCCCCAAACTTTCAAAAAACCACAGAAATTCCCCCAAGCCTCCAAAAAGTCCAAAATTCCTCTAAATTTCCTCAAAATTTTTAAAACATCTCAGTTGTCCCTCAAATTCTAAAGACTCACCAAAAATTTTAAAAAACCAAGTTAAAAAAAAAAAAGTCCCCAAATCCCCCAAAATTAAAAACCCCCAAACCCAATTAAAAACCCCCAAACCCAAAACCACCACGCTGTAAAATCCCTCCCTGAAAACACAAAAATTGCTACAAAATCCCAAAAAATCCCACATCATTCCCCGCCAAAATACCCCCACCACACCCAAAATCCCGAAACCCGTTAAAAAATCCTGAAGAATTCCTCCAAAAGAATAAAAGCCGCTCCGCGGATCCCGCCCCGGCCCGGTCCCGGCTCACGCGCGGCGCTGCCGGTGCTGCCGCCGCTGTCGCAGCTGTCGCCGCTGTCGCTCGTGGCGATCTCGTCGTCCGAGGTGGCGCCGCTGGATGATCCCGATCCCGATCCCGATGCTGATCCCGCATCCTCTGGCTTGCGCTTGACCGCGGCGCTCGGGAGCGCGGCCATCGGGGCTCGGCTCGCATGGAGAGCCCGGCGCGGAGCGGAGGGACCGGAGCGCCCTGCGGGGAGCAGCGGGACAGCCGCGGCTCAGCTCCCGCGGAATCGGCCCCATCCCAACCCGAGCGCGAGGTTCCAGCCCCGGCTGTGTGGATTTCATGAGTCATGCTGGCTCGGGATGGGCAGGAGATGGATTTTTCAGGAGTTCTGCCCTCCACATCCCGGAGAATTCTCGGTTCCGACGGGAGCTCCCCGTGCCAGCCCCATCACCGGGGATCTGCACAAACATTCACCCCAGCTTCCTCCATCCCAGCTGCTCCACTCGGGATTGATTTGGGATGGAATTAACCCAGATTCACCCCTGGAACATCCTGATCACCCCCTAAAATCTCCAGACATTCACCCCAGCTTCCTCCATCCCAGCTGCTCCACTCGGGATTGATTTGGGATGGAATTAACCCAGATTCACGCCTGGAACATCCCCATCACCCCCTAAAATCTCCAGACATTCACCCCAGCTTCCTCCATCCCAGCTGCTCCACTCGGGATTGATTTGGGATGGAATTAACCCAGATTCACGCCTGGAACATCCCCATCACCCCCTAAAATCTCCAGACATTCACCCCAGCTCCCTCCATCCCAGCTTTCCCATTAGGGATTGATTTGGGATGGAATCCACCCCAAACCAAAGGCAAAGCTTTGGCCTCCACCCAAAAAAAACCGGGATTTCAGGATTGATTTTCACCCAAAAACTGGAACTTCAGGAGTGATTTGGGATGGAATTCACCCCAAACCAAAAGAAAAGTGATTTTTTGGTTGGGTTTTTGGAACATCCTGATCACCCCCTAAAATCTCCAGACAAACATTCACCCCATCTTCCTCTATCCCAGCTTTTCCATTCAGGATGGATTTGGGATGGAATTCACCCCAAACCAAAGGAAAAGTCTTGGTTTGCACCCAAAAAACCAGGATTTTGGGATTGATTTGGGATGGAATTCACCCTAAACTAAAGGAAAAGCTTTTTTTTTTTTTTTTTTTTTTTGAAGAGGCACTGCTAAATTCAACCCTGGAACATCCTGATCACCCCCTAAAATCTCCAGACAAACATTCACCCCAGCTTCCTCTATCCCAGCTTTTCCATTCAGGATTGATTTGGGATGGAATTCACCCCAAACCAAAGGAAAAGTCTTGGTTTGCACCCAAAAAACAGGATTTTGGGATTGATTTGGGATGGAATTCACCCCAAACCAAAGGAAAAGCCATTTTTGGTTGGGTTTTTTTTGAAGAGGCACTGCCAGATTCACCCCTGGGACATCCTGATCACCCCCTAAAATCTCCAGACAAACATTCACCCCAGCTTCCTCTATCCCAGTTGTTCCATTTGGGATGGAAATCACCCCAAAACCAAAGGAAAAGTAATTTTTGTTGGGGTTTCTTTTGGAAAGGCACTGGTAGATTCACTCCTAGAACATCCTGATCTGCCCCTAAAATTCCCTAAAGTTCAGAAAAACCACTGGATGCTCCAAGAATTCCCAATCCATCACAGACTGGGAATGAGCCTCCCCGGGATTTTCCTGCTCCACACCCCTTAATCCCAAAAAAACTCAAAAAAATCCCAAATAACTCGTGGCAATATTTGGGATTTGGGGAAATTTCCAGCTCCAGGCTGGACAAGGGAATTTTTGCACCTGATTCCAATGGGGAAACTTCCAGGATGAATTTGGGAGCCCCCCAGGATGCTCTGGAGCCCTTTGGGGGTTGGGTTTTGGGTGGGATTTGTCAGATTTGCCCCCTTCAGAAAGGAATTTTGGGGTTCCAAAAGGAAGAGCATGAATTCCCAACCCATGCACCAGTTCAGGGTGAAATCCTGGGGTTTTTGGGAGGAAAAGTGGGGAATCCTGTGTTAGAGGGGGGGAAACAGGAAGGAATTGATCAATCCCAGGAGGAGCAGAGGTGGAAAACACCCTCAACCCCTTTCCAGCTGCCTAAAATTGCTGAAAGTCCTCAAATTATTCCCTAAAACTGCATTTCCATAGAAAATTCGAGCTGGAGTCTGGGTGGGATCCCACCACCTGCACAAGGATCCTTCCCCAGTGGATCTGGCAGGATGGGATTCCTATTCCTCACCTAAAAGCCCAAATTACTCCAAATTATCCTTTCCATGATGTAAAGAAACTCCTGAAAGTGTCAGAATGAAAGAAAAAAAAAAAAACCAAAACAAATAAATTAAAAGATCAGGTTTCCATTTTCAGCGATTTTTAAATCAGAAGGAATTTAAAATGAGAAAGAAAAAACTGGGTTCAAAAGCTGAGGAACTGGGGAATTTCTAGGATTAAACTTCACCAAAAGGAATTAAATTAATTTTTTTCCCCCATGTTCTGGAATAATTTCTGGAGCAGGGAAGGGATCAGGAGAGTTTGGGATTCCTGAACTCAGGAGCTGATCTGGGAAACCTCCTGGCTGAAAGAGCCTGGGAAGGAGGAACACGTGTCCCCAAGTGTTGGGGGACAGAAAGGTGACCCCAAAAAAACCTCCTTGGGCCCTGTGTCCTTCACTGGAATTGGGAGATCGAGGGGGGCCCATGAACACCTGGATCAGAGGCCCTGGAGGTGAAGGGGACCCCCAAAGGTGTTCCACAAGTACCTGGGTGGGGTCAGGTAGGGGGGGACGGAAAAGAGGATCCCACAAAAATCAAGGGACAAAGGTGGGAGAGAACCCAGAGCAGCTGGGTGCAGAGAGGAGCCCGGACAGGTGGGGGTGGGGCAGCAGGAGCCCCTTCCAGGGTGTCTCACCTGTCCCAGGGTCACCTGGGACCCCCCCGAATCACCCTGGGGGGAGGTGAGGCCTGGAGAGGGATCAGCCCAACACCCCTCCCCCACCTCTGGGGACACCTGACCCCCCAGGTGTGACCTCCCCATCATCATCATCATCATCACCAGCAGCTTCTAGAGCACCCCCAGCACAAGCCCTGTCCCCCCATGAGGTCCCCAAAGCCATTCTGAGGACCTCCAGTGCCCCCCCACAGTACAGCAAAGGGGAAACCCTGCCAGGACCCCCCAAAAGCCCCTCCCCAAATATAATGGGGGGCCCTACAAGGAGCTGTAAGGGCCCCCCACACCCTCTATAGACCCCATCCCCCACAGCCCCCCCAGATGTTTCCAGCAGGGGCAGCCCCACATTTCATACAGCCCCCCCATTTCCCACAGATCCCCAGTTCCAAGGACCCCCCCTCACCCCCCCAT